TGTTGTTCAGTCGCACAGTCGAGTCCGACTCCTCGCGACCCCATGGACCAGATCCCGCCAGGCTCTCCTGTCTTCCACGCAACAGATCGCCCAGCAATTCCTTATCATTTTGAAGTAACAGTCTGGCTAAAGTGGAACTGACCACACCACATGTTAGCATTCACAGTAACCTAAAGAATGTCTTATGAAGCAGTCTCTGCCTCCAGCTATTGAACAAACCAGCTCTAGACGGAAGGGAGTACGTGGGATTTTAGCCCCTTTGTAATGCAGGGCTAGAAAAATAGGTTTCTGATGCCTAGAGATCATCGATCTTTTCTCAGAAGCCTGTGCTACGTGGGCCGAATCTGGTTGCACAGCATTAGATTTCTAGGTGACCCAACAATGGGATTTGTTTCTATTGTGTCTAAACATACTTCTCAAAGATTACACTTGCTGCTCTGCAGACCAAAACACTTACTGGAGACAGTCATGAAAATGCCATCAAACGCAGTGGAACTGGAGGAGATGAGAAGGAGAAGAATTAAAAATAATCTAATTGACTGCAGTCCTGCCTGACATTAGAAAACATGGCTAAACAACTAACTTGTTCGGCCTGGTTTCTGCTGGAGTACAAGCACACCTAATGGCTTCAGTCCTAGGTTAAAACTAAAATGTGAGCATTTTCTTAGCGTTGCATTAACTTCAAAACAAACTATTCCGCCATGCATAAAGAGCAAAAATGCTTTCGTGAGGCTGCAACATCATTTCAGCAGGCACGGAATATTCCCAGCAAAATCTGTAGTGGCTGAAAAAGAACAAAACCCTTCACCCTCTATGCAGCTATTTGAGAGCTCTACGCAGGGGAGTGGGGGGGGGACATATTGTCACTTCTGCACAAGCAGAGGCGGGTGCCGAATGCACCCAAAATCATATTGACTGATGACGTTTTTAAAAATCTGCTTAATGAACTTCTCGGCTCACAGACTTCAAAGGATTCCACCTTAATATTCTGTGCAATGGCATACAAGACTTCCCCCCAAACTAACACAGCGGTGGGAGAAGAAGTTTGGTGAATTCTGCAAAGGACAGCTAATGAACTTTACTGTCAGCTTTGCGAAGCACAGATATTCGAAGTACAACCTCTTCACAAGTCAAGATCTGAAATGCTCAGACATCCAGAAATGACAGGGGCCACTGCAGCTCGCCTCATGCCAATGTTCAGTTCTGGATTCCTACCAAGCCAGGTAGAACGTTGACTGCTTGCACAGCAACAGTTCACGACTTACAGTGAACACACATAAATCCTGCATCTGTCGCTTTACAAATGAAACCAGGGACTAGCACCTGGATAAAAGTGTGGTTTCAATCACCATGTTCAGCTGTGTGTGACGGAAGGTAACACGAGAATTACTTAACAACGCACGAAGAAAAATCAAGGATCTGCTGTCCACAAGATTGTACATGCATTCACAGTAATTGACGAATAGGGCTAGGATTGCCAGCACAACAGTTTAATCTTCCCCCAGATAAGTAGGAATGGCACCCATTTGTGTCCGTGGGAATAACGGGGCGCCCTCAGGGACATTCTGGAGGTGGTGGCTAAACCCGTGTTCCGTAGTCACCTCCAGCTCCTGCAAATCAAGGCTACTCCTGTCTATAAAGCCTCACTTTCGATTCTGTCTCTCAATCAGAGCTAGGAGGGGAAAAGCCAGAACTGTGAAAAATCATTGTTATGGAGAGAGAGAAAGATGCTATGCCCCCGGGGATCAGCTCCAGCACTGCCAATAGATTCAGGAGCTCGTTGCTAGTGAGATGCTGCAGACGTGCCCCATACAGATGTCATATGTAAACTGGGTATTATAGTCTTATATGGAGCTATTATTTCAGTCTATGTATTTACACATATATAAATGTTGCCTCTGGCAAGGCTGTTGGAACAGCTGCTACGGAATTCCAGGATTTTTCTTCAGCAGCAGCGCCCGCTCCGTGGAACTGAGGTCCTGAACGGGTCGAAAGGAGCCCCTCTGGCAAGGCTGTTGGAACAGCTGCTATGGAATCCCAGGATTTTTCTGCAGCAGCGCCTGCTCCATGGAACTGAGTTCCTGAACGGGTCAAAAGGAGCTGACTTTCCGAATTTTTAGCAGACCACTTCACAGAGCAAAGGTATTTGGGAAAGAATTTGAGAGAATGTCTTCTTTTTTCCCATTTGGGATGCTGACAATTGTTTCAATAGATGTAATCATTGCCACTTTTACATCTGTTTGGGGTTCTGGTGGGTGGGAAATGGGGCAAAGAGTTTGAGATAAATAAAATTGGTGAGAGATGAGTGAGGGAAGGGGATTGTAGCCCATTTTCCACCGCTTGCATCTCCACTCCTGGGTTTACCCCCCAGAAGTTTCCCTAACAGTCTACCTCGTTTTCACAACGTTCGAACACACCCTCAAGAAATTCAAACAGCGTGTGCAACTGGAGGGAAATTTATGGGCTATAATAAGGGACCGCATTATGGGACAGGCAAAAAATTGCCTCCTACATCACCAACTCTGGGGGACCTGATCCTCACTGGGTAGAGATCCTAAAGAAGATACAATTAGGAAGGGTCCCATACTCTTTAGGGGTCCTTGCAATATACCAACCCTCTCACCCCACATGCCCACCCACTGTAATGATGGATCTGGTTGGTAGTTTTCAATCATAAGTGACTCACTGACTGCCTCCCTTCATCCTGCCTAGGAAACGCCCCAGTTTTTAGGGGCACTACTTTCTCCTCACCCTGAAAAGCTGCAGACACATACACGGGGGACAAATGCTCAGATCTTTCCTTTAACTATGAGATCAAGCAGAAGAGTTGCTGGAGATCTCTGATCAGATCTCAAGCCATCTTTAATTTCCTCTAAAAGCAACTGCTCGAATCCCGGTTTGAACTGAGGTGACAGCACCGTGGCAGGAGGATTTATGCTACTTCCCCCAGTGCTGTATTTTGGATAGGAGTTAGTATCCCAAAGAGGGCTACTAAGCCCCCACGGGGAGGGGAGACAAATCACCCTTTAAAGAAAATTAAAAGACATCTGGAAACCTCCTGAGTCTTGTCTAGATGAGTCCTAGGACTCTCAGGACAATAACAGTTTGTTTGGATGTGGCATAAAAGGGCCCAGAGCAAAATTGCTGGCAAGAGCAGCAGCGGCTCAGCGGTCCCATGGCCACCGACAGCCCTTGGGTCAGATGCTCAGCAGGGAAGAGAGTCAAGTAGCCAGGGCACATCCCTAGAGTGTAAAGAGCTCCAAAGGATGCGCCCAGGGCTCAACTACACATTACACACACACACACACAAGCAACCCAGCCAGTCCTTTCAAAACGGGGCAATTTGAAATTGAGAAATGAGGCAGGGGAAAGTGGAGTTTAACCCTTTTCCCTCCCAGCCCCTCACAAGGGTTTCATACTAATCCCACGGGGACGGGGTGGGGGTTAAATGTGAAGGTGGGATGGAGGTGTAGGAGGGCAAAGGGTTAAACACCCCACATCTCAGCTCCGATCTGCTCCTTCCCAAGGTGACTTTTCCTTTTTTAAAGCCATCAGGGTTCATTTGCATGCAAACAGGAGGGAGGCCCAGAAAAATTGTTCCGAACCCCACCAATGGGAAGAGAAAAGCTACACTAAGAGCTATCCGTGATTGCTGTTTCCATGCAGAGAACTGACAACATGTGGTCTTTGGAACATGAGTGAAGAGGACATCAGGCATGAATGGAAGGAAGCGTTTTATTCACGATGGAAGGAAGTATCTTAACCAAGAATTACAGAATGCAGCAGAGGAATTATTTGGGAAGAACTCAGTGATGGTGGGAGAGGAACAGTGAGAAGAACTTCCGCGGGAAATGAAGACCCAAGCAGATGGGAGAGAAAAGGGTATCACGGTAGAGGTTTAGGGGAGTAGGGAAATTCCGTAAAACACAGGCAGGCAAAGTTATGGGGAAATACAAAATGTGATACAGAAAGGAAACACAAGGCACAATTATGCCCCACTGAGATCTGAGCAAGGGGAACAGAGACTCCAAGGAGCACAAGGTGCATGGAGGGAAGAAAGACCCAGAGATCTACGAATACCTCAGAAGAAGACGTTGTTTAGAATCAGGTGAGAGTTTTACTACGACAGAAGGTAAGGTACTCATGGGTTTTGGGTCAGGTCTGGCAGGTCAGGTCTTTGGGGCACAAGTTTCCCCACACAAAACCCAGCAGAATAAGAACGAGCCAGTAAGGACAGGCTGCACCTTTTCAGTGGGACTTGTGGACAACTTCAAGGCGGACAGAACCCCATCGTGCATCCAGAGGAGGAAAATCTGGATTTTCCGCCTGGAGCAGGGGACTGTCTTCAGCTAGTCTTGCTGCGGATATTAGTGAAGCCTCCCCCAGCCCCAACCGACTCACAATCTAGGCAGCATTAAAAGAATCCCAAACAGCCCAACTTCTTCAGCCTTTATGGAGGGAGGCAGAAATCGTAACTGAGGGTCCTGGTTAGGAATCTGGACCCAGGAAACTGCTCTGACCTCAGGAAGGTGCAAAGCCAGGATGGGGGAGGGGGCGGAGACCTAAATGACCAAGACTGGGGACTGGGAAAGAACAGATGTGAGGGCGTCGATTTGGGGGTCCAGCCAAGTGGACGCGAAGAGCCCGAAGCAACTGGAGGGGGAGGAAATGCGGGAGGCCCGAGCGGAAGCGCCACTTTGGGGCGGCCGTTTGAAAGCCCGGACCGCGAGCGGGGGGGCGAATCCCCACGACCCTCTCCCGGGTTTTGCGCTGCAAGCCGGCCGGCCGCGGGGAAAGGCTGGCTGGACGCGCAGGGCAGGAGGGCCGCTTCTGCTCGCCGCCAGAACGCCTGCCGCGAAAACAGCGTGCGACCCGCATGTACGGCATCACGTGTGAGAAGCGCACACGCGGGTTCCCCCCTCCCTTTGCCTTCTTCCCCCTGCGGTCCCCCCACCTGCATCGTCCTTCCCGCGCCCGGCCCCTGCCGGCGGCGCCCTTACCGTGGGGGCGGTGAGGCGGCTGACGCTCTCGCCCAGGGAGTCCAGGTTGACCCTCCGCCGGCGCGGGGCCCTCCTGGAGCCGGCATGGGGCGGGGCGGCGGCGGCGGGGGGCGGTGGGGCGGCG